TGTGTGCGTCTGTGTCTGTGTCTGTGTCTGTGTGTGTGTGTGTGCGCACGCATGTTGTGGAATAGTCGGGCCCTTGACAGAGAATGCTGGAAAGCTCTGGAGGGGGCATCAAAGAGTGGGCAAAGGCTTCTGTCACACTAACACAATGGCTACGGACCAGGTCCAGTTACACACACACACAAACAGACACTCACACAGAAAGAGGTCCGTTGGAGAAGACTGAAATATGACACCATGTAGGTGAAGTGGGGAAATACCAGTAGTAGGGATTTTCTGTAAAAGACAACAAATTAATTTTAAAACAAACTTGTTTCTGCAAGAAGTAAATATAAAAACGTCTAAAAACACATTCACATTAAGAAAAGGAGTTTTAATTTAAAACTCCACTTATATACAGTAACAAGTTAACTTACTAATGCTAGAATTTTCTCTTAAGCTTAAGTAATATTAAAAATATTGGTATTTTTTTAGTTAAGTCATAAAAAGTGCAACACATACACAGACCACCCAAAAGCAGAGACCTCCTGTTTTCCTAAATAAGTGGTCATATACTGTAATTACTGTGAATGTAAGCACACACAGTTGCACTCATCTCGCTGTTAAACAGATGTCATAATTTTAAATAACATAGGAAGACCTCTCTATAAATAAAGCTTGCAATGTTACCTTTTCAAAGTGACCATTGATCTCAGTAGAATTTTTGAATAAAAGACTGAGGACATTGCAGGGTTTTTCTTAAGGTGCTGCTTTTCTTTCTCACTTAACTCCACATTGTCCTCTTCTCCTATCATCCACATTCTTAAGATCAAGGTCAAGGTAGATTTTATTGTCCCAAAGGGAAATTACTCCTGTAGAGAGGTTATAGGAAATACTGTTTCCACGTGGCAACTAGAAATATATCTTAAGGGTAGAAGCTTAAGTCAATACTGAACAAAGGAAAAAGGAAATATACACACTGGATCGTTCCAGACAGAGATGTGCATTCGGTTGAAACATTGTGGTAAATCATGCTTGGAGGACGGTTGACGGTGTGGGTATCCCCCTTTGGTGTGGTTAAATACTACATCATTATTTATAAATACTGTATTCATCATGTCCATTCATTGTCGTGCAGTAACTTTAAATTTATTGTTACGTTGTACAGTACAAGCAGAGGAAGACAATGGAAAAATATTTGTGAAATGACATGTAAACAATGGAATATCAACCAATTATTACTCAGCCAGTCATTTACTTGTTTAAATTGAATTTCTTATGTTTTTAAAACAATGATTCATGATTAATAGGAATATGACTTTATACAAAACTTTTTAAAACTGTCAACAGCCAAAGAAACCAAGGCGCCATACTCATGCCTTAACTGTGAATCCTCATTTCAGAGCTTTGACAGTCAAAGGTACAATAATGTGCCCAAACCTATTAATAGCAAGACAGTTAATTAGATTCAAAGATTAATTAACGGCTTATCTAATCTATCAAAGGGCTAAAGATAACTATCTAATTAACAATACGAGTGAAGAACAGCGGCAAAGTTTGTCAAACAAAGAACTCGTCGTTAGATATCAGATATCAGTGTTATCTTCAACCATCACTCTTCCCCATCTATTGTCCTCTCTCATCCATCTTTCACCTTCTTTCCTTCTGTTCTGCTTTACTTCCCTCTCTTCCCCTCACACATACTCTGCCTCGCCCCCTGCCCCTGATGTTTATTGATTGCCAGAGTTCATACAAGAGCATCACTTAATGTGCTTGCTTTCATGTCCTGCCTTTGTTGCCAGGGCCGCAGCATCACGATATTGCAAATTGATCCATCTCTCCCCACCAGCCTTTGTCAGGGTTTGTGAAGTGAACTACTATTACATTAGCCCACTCTCTGATTCGTGCCCCCACCCCCCTCTCCTTTTCCCCCCTCTGAGTCTTTCTTTCACTCATTCTATCTCTTTCTTGTCATTCTGAGAATGGCATTGGCATGGCTAAACACTGGTTTGAGAGCTGATTAGCGGAGCCACACGCCTGACTGGCTGCATTGATGAGCTCCTTGAGGTTTGATGATGTAGCCAATAAACGGACACTTTTGATTATCTGACCTCTGACCTATTCTGTAACAACAACCCCCCCCCACACACACACACACACACACCATCCCAACCTTACCTCTTCCTCCTCCTCATCCCCTTCACGCCTCCTTTGCTCCATTGTCCTTCTCAGGTGACGATTTGAAAATGAGGTCATGCTTGTCTGAACACAAACAAGGGCACTCATCCTCAAGGGCAGTCCATCCTTGAAATGATTCGATGCTTTTACCGCCTCTGAGAGATACAAAATGTAAAAAGAAGTGTTTTATTTAATGTCACATGACACATTATAGTCTAAATTAGCACTTAGTAAGGTATGGTAACATTAACCAGTGTATCCTTGCTGCATAGATAGGGCATACACTGCACGTCTTCAAAAAGTTTTTCAAGAAGTTATGTGAGTGAAAGCTCTGGGATGGAAAACTTCTATGCAACTTGTGAACCTGTCCCTTTAGGCATTGGAAGTGAGTGGACTTGCAAGACAGACATCCAATAATAAGGTTTTCTCTCACTTCGCTCCTGCCCTGGACAACTTGGCAGGAATTTGGAACGAAGACGAAACGCTGGCACTCTTTTGACGTGCCTGCAGTCTGACTTCAACGTCCTCCTGAGCCGATCAACGGCAACTCCTGAAGTCTGCATACCTGACAATGTAATTGCCTGGTGGAGTCTTCTCCCCAGCTTAGGGCAAAGTGCCTGTAATTAAGATTGGATGCCCAGGACCACCACCACCACTACTACCACCACCCCTCAACACACACATACGGACTCCACAACCTCCCAAAGCTACTGTTGTCATGGAGAGAAGACATCAGTGGAAGAGGCTGCAAATGTTTGCAGTGATGGTAGCAAGGGACGTGGGGTAGAGAGGGGGGTTGTGTTGCAAGAGTCGAGGCTGTACAGGGGGTTGTTTTCAACTGTGTGGGTGGGGGGGGGGTCTGAGAAGAGAGCGTTAAGGGGATGGGGGAC